TGTTTTTAAATCGTTTACAAGAGACATGTTTATACTTTAAAAAAAAATTCTAACTGCAATTATATATATAGAGGTGGAGTGAAGAAGACAAACTAAAGCGACAAGCAAGTGGTTGTTTGATACAGTTAAAATTTGATAAAAATGGATGGATTTTATGAAATGTGCGGTGAAAAGTAGATTAAAGTTATGTGATCAATAAAATATTCGGTTAAAATAAAGTTTCACCATCGTTTTAGTTGGTGTTTGGTGGATATTAAAATTAGATTTTTAGTAGATTGTGATATAAGTGTTTGAAATGTATAGTTGAAAAGTTGTGGGACTCATGAAATATGTAGTTAATATTGATTATTTGACTTTAATTTAAATTAAAATTTGATTTTAATCCGAAGCAAACATGGCATTAATAAACAAAAAGCTTACCAAACCAACCGAAAATGGCCGGTCAAAGTCACACATTTGAAAATATTAATATAGGAGAACGGATGGCAAGTTGAAAGCCGGAAGCCTATCACAACTCAATTTAACTTGTGGATTAGCGTTGAATCGCGACTTTTTCTTTATAAAATTTGAGAATTGTTAATGTTCTTGCCTCCCCCTAGTTCAGATAAGAGGCAAGTGCAATTTACATGCATCTTGAAATAGCAGATCGATGAAAAATGTGATTAAAAAATAAGAAAAATTTTTGAGTTTGCATATAATATTATTTTATTGAAAAATGTGTGATTGAAAAGTAGAGGGAAAAAATGTATTAAAAAAAAATAAAAAATTAAACAAGGGCTAATTAAATATTTCAAGAATTGACAATATATTTATATATAACGCCCGTAATTGATTCTGATTAAAATTTGATTTTAATATCAGGATAAAATCAATAGTTAATTTTAATCACATATTTCATGAGCCCACAACTTTTCAACCGCGTATTTCCTCAATTTTTATCAAAATATACTAAAAATCTGATTTTAATCTATATCAAATATGGGTTACGTACTACTGTACTAGTTAATAATATGGTCGGTTAAGAAAAAAAACATGTATAAATGAAAGTTGGATATGCCCCTGTTTGGCGAGTATTAAAATCAAATTTTTAGTAAATTTTGATAAAAGTTGATGAAATGTGTGGTTGAAAAGTTGTGGATCCCATAAAAATTGTGTTTAAAATTAATTGTTAACTTTGATTTAAATTTAAATTTTGATTTTAATCAATACCAAACATGGGTTTATATTTATGAATAACTAATAAAATGTACGAACATGTATAATATATGAGAGTTTTACTGCATTAAGGCCCTGTTTGATAGGGCATTATTTTTCATGGAAAAAATTTTCCACCTTTGGCTCACATGCTCACCAATTCTTTATTAGAAAAATTTTTAGATACAATGTTAAAAAAAATTATCACTTTTATTGACAATTACAAAATAAAGCCAAACGAATGGTATTCGGGGCAAGTGAAACAAATTCTAGACCCAATGGTTAATGAAATTATCATTTTAATGGACAATTTCCATAAAAAGAAAATCAAACAAATTCCAAACTTTCAACATTTTTCAGGTGAGAAATTATATAAATCAAACACAATTAATTACAATTCTCAATAAAACAATTTATAGGCAATTCAATTTCCTAGAATTCATTTTCTTTCCACAAATTTTCCACCTTTACACTTAAACGGATCCTAATAGTTTTCTTGACATGATGCGACATACCATATTTTTCACACATTAGCGATTGTCAACCACGGGTGGAGATAGTGGGGAGCAGCGGGAGCTAGGATGGGCGCCCATATGGAAAATTAAAAAGTTAGCCACCTCTAGTTTGAATTTTAAACCAAGTTCAATGCTTAATTATCCAAGTTTGGTTAAATTGACTACAATTATTTAATATTATTTTCATGATATTTATGCACGTAAATATCTTATTTTCAAATTAGGCATTTTATTTAATGCATGTTTGACTAAATTTACTTATAATAATTAAGTAAATTTTTGTATTGGTCAAATCTAAAAATGATTTATTTTAATAATTAGAGACACTACATACTTTGCAAAGGGTATGTTTGACTTCCATTGTTGAGAGAAAAATAGAGTAATGAATATTATTTTTTGAAGAATGTGTGGTTGAAAAGTAAAGTAATTTTATTGGTTTGTGTGTAGAATATTTTATTGGATGAATGTGTGGTGGAGAATTTTACTGTAACAAGCAATTTTTTAGAATAATTG